AGGGGAGGGGAGGGGAGGGGTCTAATGAGGAAAAACTTAGGGTACAACACACTGAAAAAGCAAGCAAGCTGGAGATAGGGACTCTACATTGGTATTTCTGCCAAGGTCCTGTGCATCAAACCATTCCAGCTGATAGCATTCACAAATCCTTTGAGGCAGATGTAGCGGTTGTGTTACTCTTTTCAGTTTTACCCAGAAACCTAGGCTGCTAGCACCAAAGCTCACCTGCCCCATTTGTCATGCAAGTGCTCCAACTACTCCAGTAGAGAGGCTTTTCAGCCCTCTCTCTCCCAATGGAAGGGCTACAGCTCCAACAGCCATGTGAGCTGCAGCCCAAAGGTGTACCTGGGCATTCAAGTGGGAGACTGCAATTTGAATTGGGTGATGCAAGGCTGAATTAATATGTTTTCCCTGTTCTGACATGGAGTGGCAAGAGTGGTAGATGGTACGAGGGAGGGTAACCTTATGTTCTGACCTTTCGTGGGGGAATCTTTCATTCCCATGCCCTCTTTTTCCATGGATTTTGAAAATTTGTTGTCAAATTTAGAAAATATCGTCAAAAATATTTCCTAAGATCCAATTAAGATATCTTTAGATACACGTTTTCAGGATGTTAATAAGAAAAATAAAGGAGCTTGTACTTGGTGCAAGAGAATTTCAATCTGTAATGTCTTCCGTCACTTTTCACGAAAACTTTCATGCTTGTGGAGTTTTCAATGCAGCTGTTCATCTAAAGAATAATGTTGATTGTTGATGGCATGAGGGTAAACTCAGTAAACCTCATAAAATATTTCAGCTGATTAGCTGAAATGCCATGTTATTGTCTCTGCTCAAATGTGAATTTCTTTTTAAGCCTGAAAGTGTTCCTCTCTTCTATTCCTGTCTTCAAACAACACAGCAATAAGCTAGATTTTTCATGTAGAAAAATATCATGTTTATTTTGATAAAAAGTCAGAGATACCCCTGAAGCCTTTCTGGATGGGTCTCAAAGATTACTCAATGAGTGTTTATAATGCTTGCACGGTTTCAGATTATTGAAAGGTAAAACATGACATAAAGGTTAAATAAAAATGGTATCTAATTTTGGACAGATTACCCAAGCTTTTTCTCCTCCTTACCCCCGTATTTCATGCATTGGTGCCTGCACAGTAAGTCTAAGCAATACCCAAAAGCTCAGATCTTGCATACATGAAACTCCTGGAAGTTACACTTGCTTTTGCCCTGCTCTGTGAGATCTTGAAATGATTCTTCTTTGTTACATTTTTCTACAGTGGTATTTGAAGTACTGCAGAATAAGACTATATAGCTTGCTTTTTAGAATCTGTGGTGAAGAAACTCTACTGATAATTAGAATTATATTGGTCTAAAAGAGACATCAGAATTTGCACAGGGATATAAAACAATAGAAAGAAGTTGGATTAAAAAGGACAAGGGTCACAGTGATATAGTTTTGCATTTACTTAGCAAAGACTTCCATGTAGCACAGCAGAGCTGTACACACAAACACAAATATATGAAACTATTCAAATATAGGTTCTTCTGCTGAATATTTTAAGCAGTGTTACATGATCTAGTATTCTGTGGCTCACTGAAGATGCGGCAGCTCTCCTTTGGGGGGCACTGGTAATATATATACCCCTTTATTACCAAATAAGCAGAGTTTTCTTCATTCTGGATTAATTTCAGTTATTTGTTTATTTTAGTAGTTGTGTCAGGCACTTTGAAATTTTTTTTCCTAATAAAGAAAGACTAGAAAGGTATTTGTGATAGATATGGTGTAGTCCAGCAGTTGAAGTTCATTAATAATTGGAATGTTGCAGAGTATGAAGTAATGAATACTAATTACTCCTTTCATGTCTGACAGCACCCTGTGGACCAATACATCAGCCCAGACTTTAATTTGGTTCTAGTAATGGTTTCATCAATAGTACATTAATTCTGTGTTTGAAAAGATATACAGTTGAACCTGACCCACACTCTAGATACCACTGTCATAAAATGGCCACATACTGACAACAACTGGATAATTACAAATAATTAAATCCACTGAGCTTCAGACAATCCTAATTTTAAGTAAAATATATCTTATCATATCAATCGACAGAAAGCATAGCAAGGGAGATTTATCAACTTGTAGTCCTTCCAAAGCAAATTTACTAGCCTGCGTATTAGAGAACTTGCTGATCTGTGAAGCAGCTTCCTAAAAGTATCTCTCCCCTTCCTTGTTTACTAAGATTGTTCTTGTGTTGGACTCTTGGATATTCTGTAACACCAGCTTCAGGTATTGTTTCTGAATGAAGCCTGCAAAATAAGTTCTCAGCTTCAGAGAACTTCAAATATATGTATAAATTTATATTGTCCTCAAAACGTGGGTGATTATATGAACAACTACAGGTGTTTGTTATCTCTGAAAATCAGACTTCTTGCTTAAATATATATTAGTATACATGTAGAAGCCTAAAGGTGTTCAAGTTTAGATATTTTGTAATTTTAATTTTGGACTGCAAACTTGCTCACTGGGTCTTAACATACTTTGAACTGTGACCTTGTGTTCAAAATGGCTTTAAAATGCTAGATTTTTATTAAAATATTTTAGGATATTTGCTTTAAGAAGAGGGAGAAAAAACAAAGATAATAAAATAATTTTTTTAAAATATCAGTTGTAGTACATAGATTTATGTTTAAGCATGAAAGGCACAAGAAAAAAAGTAAGTACAATTTGGGTGCAACTTATTAGTAATATATGCAAAAATTATTCAAAATGCATGAACTTAGATTTTCCAGAGCAGGTAAATCAAGTCATAAATGTAAACAGGTGCCAATTCTATATGGTATTGGGCTTTGGCCCTCACCTGCTATAAGAGGAATGATGCCACTGAATAGATATGTTATGAATAGGCTTTAATATTTGAGCTTTATCTGTGTGTTTCCTATCCTGTCTCCCCAGCACCGCTGTTTTGGAGATCACTGGATATGAGCATTAACTATAATAGATCAATGTCATTTTGTCTTATAGAAGAGAAGATAGAGGAATAAATTCATTGTTCATAAGGCCCCTATTTGCATTCACATGAGCTGTTACACCTGCTCAAATCCTTTGCACATTCACAAAGTGGTAGTCATGTCTACTCAGTTGCAAGATTAGGTTATTACAAGATTCTTTAAGATGTCTTGAAATTTGATTTATGTGGAAATGTAGCTTGTATGAACAAGTTTCCATCCTTATGAGGCATGACTATTATTCATGAAACAGCAAGACAATTCACTCGGTTTCTCCACAGGGAGAAGCTTTCCTTGCCTTGAACATCTTGCCAGCTGTGCAACTTTAAGGCAGTGCTTTTCCCACTGAACTAGTTTGACCAACTTGCACAGTTTGCCTACTGAGATTGCCTAGTAACAGCTCCATTCAGCACTTGTTTTCACCTGATTTATTCAACTTCATTCTCTACATTACTACTTGGAGTTTGCAAGTTAGTTCCAGAAGCTTTTAATTTTAAGCAGCAGGAACTGAAAGAAGGCTCCTTCATAAAATGTGTTTATCCCTCTTTCTCCACACTGAAAAATATTGTTTCCCTTTCCTTTCCTGTCCAAGAATTTATCACTTCTTTCTATTCTTGCTGAGCTTATCCAAAACATTTAGCTACAGGAAGCTATCCTACTTTCTGCCGTTTAGATTTATGGCATGTTTTGGAGAACATCTGTGCTGAAAGATACTCTTTTTAATTTTGAGTTGCATGAAAGTATACGCAAAGAAAAGTTTTTGCATAAACTAGTGAGCCATTTCATGATATGAAGTCATGTTCCTATACTAAGGATTTTTCTTTATCTTCTTGAGATCCTGTATTTGAAAGACCTAGGCATTGTTTCCTTAGGCAGCATGTACACTAGGGAAAAGCAGATCTTTGTGCCGATAGCTCAAATTTTTGACAGATCAGACCAGATGTTGCATTATTCCTAGAGAGTTTAGTGCTTATGTTAGCTTCTGAAATGTATTTGGTTTTATACTTGTTTTTGCTAAAAACCAGTTCCTCCTCAAAGTCTATACAGGATTCTTAAAGTCCTTTGTGAATCCCTTTTGAATCCCTTCACCAACTTCATTTCAAGATCTTTGAAAATTTCAACAGAAAAAAAAACTAGTGGAGAACAATCTCTCCTTAATTTCCTTTGTATGTTCTTAAATAACAGGGAGCTGGAACTCACATGAAAGATGCTCTGTATATTCCTGGGTAGAATGGTGCATTAATTCAGTCTGTTCTACCTGCCTCTGCTGGTGGAACAGGAGATTATGAAGAAAAAATTACCAAAAGAAGAATTTGTCTTTAGTAATGTCTTTAGCGATGATTTTTTTTTATATACCTTCTATCATGGACTTCCATAAATAGTGCCTATATCTGCTACATTTCTTCAGAAATCAGAATTAACCTCTAAACAGATACATTTCACTGAAAAAAATGAAGCAATTCTACTGGGTTTCCCCACCTCTGTGTTTATCGTTGTTGCTTATACTCCTTGAACCGTGTGAGAGCAATAACAAAACATTTATTTTTCCCAGGTCTGTAATTAACAGAAAACCTAGAACAGCTGCAGTAATAAAACCCACTGAGTCATTATGTAGTTTTTGCCTTTCATAGATGATAATCACAGAAATTGGTAATTTACTGCTAGTGTGAATTGAGAACCCATAAAGTAAGTACTTGAATCCAGAACTCTAAAGCTTGGGATATTGCCACATAGACCTTCTGAAATACAGTGTGACTCCCTTAGCAAATGTTTTTCCAGTGACAAAGCAAACTGAAATAGTTATGTTTTGTCAGCTCTCTGCTTGTCTCTTGTCTCTGTGTGTGTGTATTGAAAGTGAAGCAAAATTGCGCTCTCTGTGTCAAGCTCTCCTGTTTTGTTCTCTCCAGCTGTAGCCAGTTTTGAAGGCTGTGGAGAGATCACAGTTTGAGAATTGAAATCCATGCTGCAGAGCTGGAAGGTAAATTCATGTCCACCTGAGAAAGATTGTATTATCTGAAGAATCTGACTATATGGCTAAATTATTTCACTACTATACAAGCATAAGCCAGGAAAACTCATCTCACAGTTTACATGGCAGCAGTATATAACATACATGTCCGATGTTGAGTTTTGTAGAGTCATGGGTTTCCTAGCACAAGACATATTAGGTTATTTTTAGGAATTCACTTGCAGTATATCATAAGTGACTGTCTTTTCTTCCTGGTCCTCGGTGAAATGCAAAAGTGCTTTCAGTACACCATTTCATTTAGCCTATGTCTTCTGGCTAAGGGGATGTCAGAAGCAGGCAAGGATGTTAAGAGCTGAAATATATGTCCCTGACTCTGGCAGTGTCCTGTGATACCTGAGAAAGAAAGTGATGTTAAAATCTGTACAGATAATACTTGTTTTATTCATGTTCTGATGTGGCTTTCATGAGTTGCATTTTAAGTGTTTAGTATCTATACTATTGCAATCACTTTGAAGATTGATTTGACAACATATATCGATTTGAATTTCATGAAAGGGGTCTACCTATGTTCCATTGTATAAATGTTCTACTGACTTTTTTTAAACAGAATTTTGTTACTAATGTTTGAATTTCCTTTCTTGGCAGAAAACATTCAAAGCTATTGCTGTACAGAAAATATTGTGCTTGTGTGTGGCAGGTGATGGATGAAGACTGGCACACTGTGCAAGTAGATGACACACAGTTGTGGCACCTGCTCACACCAGACCAGACACACAGCAGGCACTATAGCCTATAATCAGTCTTTCAATCTTTTGTTTGGTGCCATACCATAAAAATAGGAAGGTGAACTTTTGTGTTGACTTGCTGCTGGGCTCAAAAATGGTACTTCAAGCAGTAGCAGATTTGCTGTATGGGACAGGCTGGCACCTCTCATTGAAGACAAGGGGTCAGGAAATGACATCTCTTGAATAAGGAATCTTATCCAGTGAATAAAACGTGAACCTAATATAACTCATTCTCTCACTCAGCAAATAATTGATTTTGAACAAAACATTTAGTAGGTTGCCTTAAGAAAAATAACTTTTTATTTCAGCCACCAGCCCTTCTCTCTCCTCTGGTCACTATCAGTTTGTTATAAATATATGCACCTGCTTAGTTTTCTAGGATTTACTGCTAAGCTATTTTAAAAGATGGAAAAATAAGCTATATTTAAGGAAATGATTGTAAGAACTAACAGCTATTTCATTAAGGGTTATTTGAAAACTTTCCTAAGTTTGTGGTAATGAAGATTTACCCCTAAGCCAAAGACTCTTCAGTACAGCAGTGAATAACCTACTGGTGTCTGCTGTATATGCAAATGAAACGATGCCAATTAAGAAATTCTCTGTGCCTTCTTCATATAATTTTGGTGTGTTCAATCATCCTCTTTTTTTTTCTTAAGCGGCAGGCACCTAAAGTTTGGTTTGTATCCATTTCCTGTGCTGCCAATATCATGCAATACTCATTTTTGCAATCTAAGATATTGGTGGGTTTTTAATTCAGTAACATCCCCATTTTATTCATGCATTTTATTCCTTCACAGATGTATCAAGATTGAAGACAAAGCATGTGAATTCAACAAGAATTTCTGTCTCATTCTTCATGCTAAACTGGCTAACCCTCACTACAAGCCAGAACTGCAGGTTCAGACCACACTCATTAATTTCACTGTCACCAGGGATGGGCTGGAAGACCAGCTGCTGGCTGAGGTTGTTAGTGCTGAAAGGCCGGACGTAAAAAAAGTGAAGACAAGACTATCTTTTGATCTGTCTGTTGCCCCTTCTGAGATTTTAAGGCTAGCATTAATGTGCCTGTTTGATTCTGCTGTACAGTAACTGTTAGTAACTCAAATGTTAGAAGGATTTTAAGGGTCAGATTCTGCAAAGTGTAGAAAGTACCTCTACTGATTTGCTCAAATCCGTGCTCCCAGAGGGCTGGGCTTGACTTAAAGCTGTGCTAGAAATTAAATTTATTGTGATCTTATTCCCACACTTCTCTGTACTGCTTGGTTTGCTCTGTGCATTGCATTTAATTTACAGTGCAGGATTAAAGTCCTCTGCAGTGCTTTATGCTTCAGTAATTTTGAGCCAATAAGTGTGAATAAAATTTCATGCCAGACCATAAGAGGTTATGATGGCACTTGTTAGGACCTGAGATATTTTGTTGATAAATCGTAATTTATTCCTCTTAAGATGCAGTTCTGTGACTGCTGCAGTCATACCAATGTTTCTGAAGAGAAACACTTTTATAGCTAGTTATAGAAAGGACTTTCAGCAGACTGTGATCTATGAGCTAAGAATGAAAATATACTTAGCGGTGTGAAATTGATAATCCTGCTTCCTATTTCTCCAGTGTGTCTTTCCAGTTATCTCATGTAATTTGCTAACTTCATCCGCAAAGATTTGCTACACCTCTTTGAGGTATTACTGCTTCATGCAAGGGTAAACTGGGTCAGAGAGTTTAATTACTCCTTGAAGAATATACTTAGGAACATGATCTGAAAAGTCATATACTTGGGAACATGATCTGAAAACAGCTGGCCATTTTCCTCTGCATCTGCACATTGTTCCATGTGGGGCTTTATGTTTACACCACCTGTATCACCTAGGGTTTTTTGGTGCGAGTGTCAAATTCTGATGGAGAGCTCCCCATAAGACTGGTCAAGCTGTTTCACTGTCAGAAGGTCAGTCCAGCACTGCAGACTACGACCATGCTTTCCCACACTGCGTGCTGCCAAAGAGGGTTTCTCCAGCCTTGTACTATTACTGGTTTTCTCAGCTGCCACACAGTACCACTTGCCATCTCTGGCAAGATCCCAGTCATTTTGTGTAGTCTGAGGAGGAAGGAGGCTAATAAAGAGAGAAAGTTCTGGTCTGTGGTGACCATGACCTTTTCACTTTGGGTGTCCCAGAGCCTTAGTTCTAGTATACTGGGACAGGAGATAAATTGTCTTTTTCAGAAATTAAATTAAAACAACTGATGTAATTAAACAAAACTTATAGCTCACAAATGCTATAAAACAGTATTTCTTGCTGTGGTTGTTTAAATATAGTGTTTTCATTCCCTCTGCAAGTCAGTCCTGGCCAAGCAGTGGAACTGTTTTAAGACTGAGCTCAGGCAGCTAGAGGACATGCTGTTCAGCCTGTCAGCCACCCAAGGCAGTTTCTTAGGTGACAGTGAACTTGTAGACAAACTTGAATCAACAATCTCACTGCAGCAGAAGTACAGCACAAGGTAATAACAATTGAACTGGTTTTAACAGCTTAATGTCACCTGTTAAATGTGTATTAGTCATTATTTTTAGTGAAACATTTCTATGAGCTAGGAATAATTCCTGTCTGTCCAGCAAAGGCTGTCCACCCATATATTCACAATTTCATACCTATGGTATATAGTTGTCACACATTATTTTTTTTCCTTTTGATTTAGGTGCTTGACTTAGTTCTCGTAAAAGAAATAGATATCAGCATGAAATATGAACAAATGTATTCATATATGATTGCCATGGGTGAACAGGCATATTGCTGCGGAGAACAACCATTCCCTAATGTTTGTCTAAGATAAGAAGCTTGCTTACCTTAAATATTTGCTACTGTCTGAAATGAAGTCAGTTTTCTAGAGTATATTGATATTCGGTTTTGTACAGATAGGAATGTTTTGGTAAATGTGTTGGATAATCATGGTGCATTAAAAAATAAATGGAACACCTGTCATCCTGTAGATAGCTGAAGCCAAATAAATGAAGCTCAGATTAATGTGACAAGAGAACATTACAGACTGACAACCATAAGAGCATCCATTCTTTACTTTGCTAGTTACAGTCTGGGCAGCATCAAACCCATCTACCAGTTTTCACTGAAAGTAAAAATTTATCTTGCTGATTTGGTTTCAAAATGCAAGGAAGAGAGTTCTGCCTCCAGCAGTGATGCCTGATCTGTTAGTTATTACTTGTACCAAATGTTTACATTTGCAGGGCTGTGTGTCAGAGAAAGAAGACGATGTGATCTCCTGGTAGTCTGTACCACGGGTCTCTCTGTTGGCTGTCTCCATTCTGACAGTGTTTTCTGACTGTGCTTGCAAAGTTTACCTTCCTTATGTTAAGCCATCCCATAGGGTCAGGTAGGAAGAGTTTTGAGGGATTCTGTATAGACAATTCACCGTGGTAAGTCTCCAAATCATCTAATGCTATGAAGAAGGGAGATCACCCACTGCAAAATTACCAGGTTGCTTAAGTGAGATGTTCTGCCTGCTGAGTTAAATAAAGAAGCAGAAGTGAATTGACATTTGTCACCCTCACCACTGGTTTCCTGAAAGTTTCCTCAAAAGCCTCTTGGCAGAAGTGCCTTGAATTTTAGACTGCTTAGGCCTGCTTGTCTGAGAAGCCTACAGTTAGAAATGGATTAACTTATGAATAGAAAAGCAAAAAACAGAATTCAAATAAATAAAAATAATCATACTTATTTTCAGGCCTTCAATGCAGTCCTCCGCAAAGCAATTAAGCAAGCTGAAAAATCAGGGGATATTCAGTGTCATATCTCTAACCTGACAGAAGCTGACATGTATTCAACCTTTCTTTTTACAAGCCAAGAACTTTTTGAAAAGGATTAGCTCATTTTCTTGCTCAAAAAAGCTCTTCAGGTGAGGAAAAATTTTCAGATAGGTGATGCTGATATTTACTGGGTTTGCTGTTTCTTCAGTAGAAGGTAATGTCTCTGCCCAAATAAGTTACCTTGTTACCTTGTGGTTGTGCAGTTTCTCACACACTGTGACTGCTGCTTTAGTATCAGTAATAATTGCAGAAATTCCCAAGATGCTTTTATGTAATTCTTTTCATTTAAAATGCTGCAATTTCATGAAGTTATGCTGAGGATAAATAGCATGACTGAGCTGTTTGTGGTTGGATAATAATGGTTGAAATTGATGTGGTATATAAAGTAAGAATTCAGTAAATAATATATAACCATATCACATTCAGGCTGTTATCTTTTTAATTTTAATATCTATATGCCCTAGAAAAAATATCAGGGCTCAGTTGTACTGGGTGGCAGGTTTTGCCCTAAAGAGCTTGCTCCAAAAGAGGTTGTATCACAGAGCTCGTCAGTAACAGAGTTAGGAATTAAACTAGAAACCAACAATTTGGGAAGAAAGTAAAAAATTATAAATTAAGGAATCTGATTTGAAGGGGGATAGGAAAAAATAAATCATTCTGCACAGTGTATAAATGCAGACAGAAACATCTGGAAAAGAAGAAAAATCAGGGAAAGAAAACTGGTGATGATTTCTCTGCATCATGGTGCAAATGGATTTATTCATATCACCTAGGTTTCTATCACTGTGTTGCTTAACTTCTGTGTTTATTGTAGCAGTGGTACTGTGATGGATCTTGAAGAATGGAAATCTATACAACAACTGAAAAATAAGCTCAATCACAATTACAGACAAGACAGAAACCAGAACAAAGGGCGCAATATACTTCTGATTTATTAAATACATTTTTAGATGGAAAGAGAGAGGGCTTTTAATGGAGGAAGAAAAATGTATATCAGAAAGGAGAGAGAATATATGGTACCATGGCAAAGGTGTCTCTTTTCACAGAACATGTGGTTAAAGTGATAAAAGAATTAGAAAAACCCTTGTGGAACCTGAGGAGTTTTCTTCAGTATACATACAGCTCACGTGTCAGAACTGCTTCAGTTCTCAAACAAAAATCAGCAACAAAAACCACTCAGGATTTACAAATTTCCCAAAGCTTTGTGACAGCTTGCAGTCTGAAGAGAGTTTGGAATGGTAATGGAAACAGCTGTGAACTATTTGTTCTTCTCTCTATCTTCTGAGACATAAAAAGGATACATAAGGATAAATCAGATGGAATTCAGAAATCTGTACCTTTTTTGGTAGTAGTAGTATAAAATAATGTGTGGCCAAGTTTATATAAGGTTAACTTCAGTGTGCAAGACATACATTTTTATGTTTATTCATGTTCCCACAAGCTAAAGAAAATAACTGCTGTTGGTTAGCTCACCCTAAAATTTGGGTGAGTTTGTCTTTCAGTACATAAATTTATTATATATATCATATGTATCTCTATTTAAATTATATATCTAAATGCTGTTATATTTTCTGTGAAAAGATGTGACTGTCAAGTTGTGTTTGGTTTTCATGATGTCCTTTTTTCACAGGTAAAGTGCAGCTCTGTGTGTGTATAGGAATGGCTTTAAAAAAACTTATCACACCCTTTAATGACTAATATCTAAGCATACCATTCCATTTGCAATAGATGGCAAATAAATATTTTTAAATACTGTTAAAACAAGATGTAAATTCTTGTAGCAAAGTTTCAGAAAATGCAGCTGTAGGAATTCTTGCCACTTTGCGCTCCCTACTCAGTAATACATGAATATGCGGTGAATACTTTAAGGCAGAAGTGGTTCTGAAGCATGTCTGATGACCTTTTTCAATGTTGTGTGCTGCCAAGATTCTTCTAAGAAGTAAAGAGATAGAACTTGAATTGGATTTCCTTCTTCAATTCAGAGCTGAACACACTTACAAGAGTCCTGTTGACTTCTTAACTACTCAATCATGGAGTGCCGATAGGGTAGGTTAGGAAAATTGTTTTTCAGTTCTAAATCTGTTTTGAAGTTATTTCTGGAGGCATGTTACAACTAGATAATTTCAGGTGAAGTCATACATTCCACCATGATTTTTAGTAGGACTAGTGATGCTTACGCAGAGGAGTTGTCTTTGCTTTTTGAGCATATTTTCCTTGGACATCACGTACTGTGCTTTGTGAGGAAATTGTTTTACCATAATTTGTCCAGTCCCCTAAAATTACAATTTTGATCTTCATACTACTCCTTACTATATTAAATGTCCCATACAGGATTTCTAGTTTGTCATATCTTGATGTTTAATGTTAATCAGACAGTATGGCAATACTGACCAAAGTAAATTCTTATCAATAATATTATGTTTGTGTGTGTGTGTGTCTAGATATAGATATAAATATGTAATTTAGTATTTTAAGGTAAGTCCTGAGTCCCTTTTAATTGCTTAAATTATGGGGTTTTTTTACATACCCTCAAAAGTATCAGTATTTGTCTTCCTGTTTCAGACTTCACTCAGAAGGTACATCATCTCTATTTATGTCTTTGGCATGCTTCCAGGCTATGGCAGTGATGGATGTGTTCAGGGGGTTAGATAAAGATATTGAAAGATCCACCAAGAGGTGGAAGAAGTGGGTGAACTCAGAATGTCCAGAAAAGGAAAACCTCCCCCAGGAATGGACAAACAAAAGGTCTCTTCAGAAACTGATTGCACTGAGGGTGCTCCATCCAGACAGAATGATATACGTTCTTAGGTATGAAATCTGAGGGTATGCCTTTTGGGACAAGTGAGTGTGAGGGTGGCTTGTATGGGTCAGCACAGAGAAAATGCAGATCTTAAGAGGTAAGCAAATAACTTACAAAACTGGGTGATCAACCAGAATTTGAAGTCAATGACTGTGGTCCTTCCCAGGCTGTTCTTCTGGTAAGGAGTTTATGAAGAGGTAGTGTGGTGAAACACGAGTCACCATCACCTTTGGAGAGCTGTATTTGTGATTTCTTTTAGATAGCGTATAGATACCCTGACGAGAGTGCTCATTAATAAATGGAAAGACAGTAAGCTATGCTGTTAATAGCTAGAACTGTATTTCTCCAGTCTTAGTTCTCATTCTGGTATTAGGGATGTTAGCTGACCCCATGGCATGACAGTTTTTCAAGTCTTCCTTCTCTAAAATTCTGCTATACCAAGAAAGATTCAGTTGTGGATAGTTACCCATCTTCTCCCAGCTGTTTTACCAGTTGTACTGTTTTAATCTTTTGATCCCAAGTGGTGGTCTCATAGACCTGATCCTCTACACCCCACCATCACAACTTTTACATGCCTTCTGAGAATACAATTTTTGTGTCCTGGGTGTTTATTCTGCCCAGCTGCCCTGGCCAGGATTGCCTGCATATAATGACTTCTTGGATTCAGTTATCGAGGAGGTCCTTTGCCTTCAGAATTTGATGTTTTCTGTTACATGGCCCCTGTCCCACAGATAAAGGGGAATGATTGTCTTCTGCTTGCGTCACCACCTGCCTTGTCTTCTTGTCTTCCGTTCACTTCCCTGACAACTTCTTTGATGAGATGACTTGTTAGACCCATCGCTGTCAGCCAATCAAGTCTGAGAATGGTTCAGGCTTGAGGCCTGTGTCAGGGAAAGTTTTTGGTGTTTAGTGCATGTTTTTTCATATGTATAGGAACTTTGTTGAAGAAGAGCTTGGCTCAAGTTATGTGGAAAACACAAGGATGGACTTTATAAAATCCTATGAAGATAGCAGTCCAGCCACTCCTGTGTTTTTCATTCTGTCTCCAGGAGTAGAGCCACTTGAAGATATTGAGACACTAGATAAGACTCTTACTTGTTTCTGGTGCAAGGATCACTCAACTGTCCTCCCATTAATGAAAGAAAAAGTGAAATGGAGTATGCAGGGCTAGAAATGTAGGTAAATTGATATATGATTAAACGCTTGTGTGTATGTGCCCATACACACATACATGTGTGGGTGTATTTTTACTAAACAGAACAAAGCCTTCTGTCACTACGATGGAGTATGCATTACTATGGGAAAGTTGGGCACAGTTTATTTTCAGCAGAAGATTCAAGTTCTAAAGTTTCTTCCACCCCCACCATATTAATGGTAAATGGGGTGGATGAAAAGTGTAAGGCCATAAGCAGTACAGTATGAAGAAATTTTTAGACTGAGCATTCCTCTGCTTGGCATAATGCAGGTTTCTTTTGTACTGTTTTCTACCTTTTGACTAGATGAGGGCCAGAGGGCAATTTTCTCCATGCTCATGTAATCTTGTGCCCCCTGTGACTAAATAATGGTCATTATACAAACTATATTCAATTGTATAGGACTCTGTGGCTTTATACTTAGGATTACTATTCCCCACAGACAATAGTGAGAATACCAGGTTAATACAGCTGTGACCTCACTGTGCTCAATTTAAACTCAGACCTCACAAGGTGAGAGGCTTGTGCATTTACCCACTGAACCAATCAGTTAAAAAACTGATGTGATATCTACCACATGTTGCTCCCTTTTTCATAAGGGAATTGCTCTGTACCCCCTGTAAGAGTTTCTAAAGCTTAGTAACAATGCCGAGCATCTATCAAAATGTCAAAAGGTTCATTATCTTAAAACCAAGAGAACAGATTTCTGCAGGCTTTTTCTAATACCAGCAATAAGGCCACTGTTGAGAGCTCGCAATTTTGGCTGTTGAAATTGTAAGGGTTTAGTGAAGTGCTTCAGAAGAAGTAATATGCATTGCACAAGTGATAGTGAAATTAATGGGGGCATTATCATTCTTTCTCCTTTCTGCTCTGCTAATTTTCCTGTCTCCTCCCCCTCTGTCATTCATGCTTCCCCAATTATTTCTTTTACAGGCAAAACGCTTGGGTTCTCTATAGACTCTGGAAGATCTCTCTAGGGGAGGAGAACAAGGGCAGGAGATGGTTGCAGAGGTGGCACTCGAGAAGACTGGCAGACGTGGCCATTGGGTTCTTTTCTAAATGAGTATCAAACAGCCTCTCTGATGGGTTCTGTCTCCTCAGTCGGAGGGATATTCCCAGAAAACAAAGAAAATGCACATTGGATTACAGCAAAAGTTTTAAACAGCTATTAATCTTGTTCCTTTTTGCTTTTGCTTCTGATTGTAACAGGATAAATAATATATTAATAGAGTCTGTGTCATGTTTTGCTGAACACTGTCCTCACCCTCCCAGGAGGAACAAGAGAGAGAAACCAGAAAGCCTCTGGTGGTAGGTAGGACTGCCCTCGGGCATATGCTTCCCCCATGTAATTAAGAGCTCCTGTTCCGTTCAGTGGGCCATAATGGAGACTTTAATGAAATGGGTCTGACTACCCCTTGGGAAGCTGTGTAATTAGCCCTGGAGTGCTGCTCTTCTGAGATAGCAGCCGCAGCTTTGGCCAGCATTGTATGGACCGAGAACCCGCTCTGCGGTGGACAAAAACCTCTGTTCAATCCCCTGGCGAGCTGCAGTTCCCAGCACAATAATGGAGTGGACAGGAGCACTACAATTGTTAATGCTACTGAAAGAAGGTGCTTCCCTCCCACTGTTTTATGTTAAATAGCCAATGGATATTTGTAACAACCCCCTTGCCCTGAAGCCAGACAAGAAATGCATGTTCCAGGCCTTGATATTAAGGACATCATGGGGGCGGGGTGATTCCCTGCTTTTCACCTCAGCAATGTTTGGCTATCAACCAGGTTTCCCGCAGCAAATAAAGAGGTCAGCTAGACTCAGTCTAGCCACCTCTGTCTGCCACCTGAAATAAAATCACCGTGAAATTAGTGAGGGACCTTGGTGTACTAGGTGCTGTGCAAACACACACAAACTGACCCCTTCGTTGACAGTGAAACTGGAAGAATAACTAGATTTCAGACGAGTAAGTTAGTCATGCTACTCTGAAAATAACCCTGATTTTCTGCTAGTGAGTATAGAATTGTTGTGAAGGAAAGAGCAGAGTTTGTTTTCAGGGGAATTCAGAGTTCTCAGCTGTTCTGGGGACAGGGCGAGAAAATGGGAGATGGCAGAGGCCCTAAATCATCACCGTTGTGTGTCTGAAGCCACAGGGATAGATGGGGAACATCTAAGAGGCTTCTGGTGTTAGAGACCTGCTCCATTTTCCAGCCTGGCTTCTAAGAGAGGAGGGAGGTGATAATTTTGCTGTGAAGATTTTTGGTAGTGAAAGATTGGGGAAAGTCCAAAAGGAGACTACATAAAGATGTTGGACCAAATCCCAAGTGGTGTAAAGCTAGCTAGAGCTAGTGGGATTTGGATGTGCTCATTGCTTCTCAAGCTTCAGTTCTTCTGGGTTTATGTTTAAAACAAATCCTAGAGCAAAAAGATGGTGCATTTGTTGGAGGCTAGGGGGTGTATAAGTAGATATCAAAAAAAAACCCCAAACAAACCAACAACCTGTTATTCTGACTGACCCGGCAAGTATTTTTAAATTGCTTTGGCTTCAGATCTAGCAAAAGCACTTGGCACAGCAGTTAGTAAACTGGCAGAAGACTGACTTTAAATTTTTTAGTAACTTTTCTGTCAATTAATTTCTCAAACTCAGACTACTGATACATTGAATGGTTGTTACTATGTTAAAGCTTGAATCACTTCCACTTTGCAGTGGGTGGGTGTAGCCTATATGAAAATGCAGGTGCCACCAGGCTGCTACCATGTAATGTCACATGAAGGTCTCCCTCTCTGTCCATTCTGTTCCTTTTTCCACATGTCAAGGGACAATTTGGGAATATCCCCTCAGCAGGTCTCATGATAAAGTGATGCTCCAGCCAGTGTGTGACTGACATGTCCTATTCCTTGGCTGGTGTGTGGAGTTGTAATTCCTCTTGCTCTGCACAGAGATGGAAGCCAGCGCAATCAGCAGGTTCTGGCACAGCAGTGAATACCCAGAGAGAAGCTGCATGGCTGAGCTGAGCTGCAATTTGAGTACTGTAACAAAAAAAAAAAAAAAAAAAAAA